AATGAAGAAATACTCTTGATAAAAAAGTTATCAAGTCAGGGAAAAGCATACATTAATTTGAAAGGATATGTCAAATCATCAGTGCAACTCAAATCAAACAAATAACCGGTTTCGATAGGGTTGAAATTGTTAAACTTATCCAAAGGACTGATATTTTCACATAAGTAAACAATGTTTTGTCATTTCATAAAAAAAGAATTGTGATTCACATGAACATTAACGAAAGGACAATTTATTTGATCTTTCGAAAAGCATAAACATTTTGAAACAGCAAATGGAGTGGAAATCCAGTATGAGATATCAACTTCAGCTTTTACATCAGTCGCTTTTGTCTGAATTATATGCCATTTCAGTCTAATTTCTAATTACATTTTAATGAATTTACCACTAGGTATCATATTGAATAATGTGCCGTTTGAATTAAACTTGTTGACTGCTAACAAAATTCGCTGATCTCTGATTAACTCACCCCACAGATAAGTGATAGCACATTTGGGACATTGCCCTTGAATCGGAAACAATAAAATTCTGTATTCATTATCAGCGTTCAAAGCGTGTTTCGCCAAACATCGCATGTGGAAATGAGACTTGCATATTTCACTAGCGCTACAACGAAGCAATTCAGAGATCTAAAAAAATTCTTTTTGAAGATTTCGAGTAATTTCTAGTATATCAATTTGGAGCTTGAACGGAATAAGAAATTATACTCGAAAATGTGATAGGCAATTATCATAAAATATCCACTTTCATTTGACAACTCACCGAATTTATTGGCTTTAAGCACAGCGAACAACTTCCAATGACATCATATTCCTCTTGCAACTGAGGTATTAATGACGATATTTTTGTCACAGAGCCATATTGCACAGCGACATGAGAAGGAAGTGGAATATCTAGTGGGAACGGAATTTCTAGTTCCTAAATAAAATGTATGAATGGCAATGAACATTTTTCAAAATACATTTCTAGTTTTCTTTTTTTAAATTTCTAAACCTACAGGTAATAACCATCGGAATGTAAGCGAGAGACGTCGCCACGGATCGCTATTTAACATATGACAAGCAATACGCAAACGAAATCCAAAAGCTGTTTCATTCGTTTTTTTCTTTAAATTCAAAGATCGCAGTCTCCGTGACTTTTCTGGATTTTGCCAAGCCCATTCGAATCGCAGTGCAGACACACTGTTTGGAAAACCATGTATGATGCAAACCATATCCCTAAAATCGCATCCAAAAATTCCTAATTCATTCCTATATTTTAAATCGCAGACCACAATGATGAACTAGCTTTCAGAAAGATACCTTCAGTGAGAAATAATTTTCATTCCAATACCAGACATTAACCCTCCTTGTTTTATTTAATAGAGCACAAGAACATACCACGGTCCTCTGTGATCTGTTTTTTTGGCTCCTCCAAATTCTTTCCCAGCATTATGCTGTCGTATACGTCGATTAGGGTCAACAGTATAACCAATGTAACAACGATTCTGAAATTATAAACAGACACATGATGTATATATAACAACTCAATGGAAACTTCCTTAAAACTTGAAACTGTAAAGCCTGCTTGCGACTTCAGGTCATGATAAGATCACAACAGCTATGAAACATTTCAAATACCTTGAAATATTTGTTCGAACTTCGACTCAACAAACAATACACACCAAAAAACTCGTCTAAAATAGAAGGTACTGCGTGAGTTTTTCCATATTTTCTCCGCTCCTTTCCTTGGACCACCTGAGAAATATACCCCAATTAAAATTTTAGTAAAACTGATTATTCAGTATCTCGATGAGCTACTCGTAATCGAAAATCCCTTTCAGAGAAATGTTGTGTAGCTTGCTGCATCGCACTCGCCAGTTACTGTATGTTATCCATATAAACTACTCTTCTTGAATTAAGTGCTAAATTCATCATAGAAAGTTATATTTTCATAGCAACAAAAAATAAACGCATTATTTAATAGTATACTTAGTTGATTTTAAGATTTCTATAATAAAATAATCTAAACGAGTTAAAAAAATGTCAACGCACATTTAGCGACTTTCTTAAATTTAACCTAAATTTTTGCAAGCTACAAGACAGTAAATGAATCTGAATAATGCTACTCGTCGCATTTGAGGTAATTCATGGAAAAACAAATAAGATGATGACTCAAAAGAGGAAAATAAGAAAAACTACTCTAAAAATTACCTTGAATGGCAAAGGCGACTAAAAGTTTTAGGCTTTTTGAGACGAATTCTCAGAGAACGGCGAATATTAATGAAAACATGCTGATGCTACACCACCGTATTTTATATATCATCGATTAACATAATGTTTTTGAAAGAATTACACTACCTGGACTCAAAATAGGATTTCCCCTTTCTCAAAATAAAAGAGAATTACTATGAATATCTCATGCAAGATTTCCTACACGAAACTGTCCTCGTTTTAAAATCTCATAAAAAAGAATGTTTACCTCATCTGAGTTGGATGGCAACTGCAATCGTGATATATCAGACCGCACATGACTATTGCTATCAACACTACCTCTTTCTGAATCAGTTACTTCTTGTGAAAACGAACGGCATAAATTTTTGGAAGAACTTTGGCACGTGGGAAATCTGAAACAAAAATGAAGAAAATAGAGAGGACTATGAGTTTATTTTCTTTGAATGTGAGACTACTCTTAGCCAATAGTACTTGGAAAAATTTAGTTCCCGATGTCAAAGGAAATAATTGATTAAAAGAAGTAAAAAAAAATTTCCTTTTCTCAAGCGCTATGGAAAAAGAAAAAAATTACTTGTTAATGTATTTCACTTCACTTTCTTCTCTATCTTCTTCATTTTCAATGCAAATTACATTGGATTCATCAGCAGACATATGAATGCATCTACACCTCGCACTTAAAACTTGAAAAGTAAGCAAGGTATCCAAAATTCAACGTGAGGCGAGATCTGGAAGGAGCGGGAAGAATTACATCTAACTTTAGGACTCTAAGCCTGTAGCTTTTGAATTCCGTGACCTAATCGTTAAATGAATATTTTAAAAATTGTAGAATGGTTTAAAAGAACTTGTATTTGACATCTTTTCTTTCTATGGAAAGAAAGTGGAGAGAAGAAAAGTTTGATTTTAAATCAATCTTCTGCCACAAAATTCGCGGAAACTAAATTTGCCTTTATTACTTATTGCATATTTTTATCAGCACAAAGTTTGGCAAATTTGAACTAAATTAAAAAGTGTCAACACTGTTAGGAAGCAATGTGATTGGGTCTCCATACCACCTTGGAAAGGAACACAAAATGTCGAGAAACAAAAAGCTTTCAGCGAATTAATGGAACAAAAAAGAAAGAAACAGTGAGGAACTGTAGGAATCATCCAACAAAACGGACCTTTACCAACACATTCCTTCCCTCACCATTTCACTTCCCATGGCAACTATTCGGCGGTTTTTTGGATAAATCTTTAAAAAGAAATGTCATTACTGTTGTAAGAGCATAGGTTTTGCTGGAAACAATGTAAATAGATAAAGTAATAAAAAGCTGGTCCGGAATATACTTAGACTGTCAATGATGGTTCAGGAATACAAGCACAGTATCATGAAGCCTTCACACACTCTTCAAAAATGCACTATACCGCTTCAGGAGAGGAGGTGCACCTTTAGCAGCGACATATACATCGATATCTTGTGTTGTGCATTTTGTCTGTCAGTGCGGTGGTTCTGTGGTGTGTCAGATTTAGCAACCGTTGTTCTTTAACAGTGTTATCAATCCGGATTGTTGTATTAAGGGATTAAAGCAGGTACTTTCTTATCTTAAGATATTTGCGAACATTATCAGTACTGCTGTTAAGGAATGGTTTCTTTAGCGGCAGTGTTGATAACGTGGTTTTGGAAACTGTTTCTTTTTGTTTTCACCTCCTCTTTACAGTTTTATTTGGTGTTACAAAATCATCATCAATTGTTGGGAGAGAAATATCCAGTTTTACGATTCCCTTACCATTATCTAATGTAATCTGTCTCCTATTTTGCTGAATTGAATGTGGATCAAAACTCCGGACAGTTAGATCCCATTGCTCTCTTTCTTGCTTTCCGGTTTGATTATTGTTTAATTCCACTTTTAGAAGTGAAAAATATCGTGTGAAAATGGCATATAAGGTGGATGTGACGCAGATGAAAATAGCGGAAAAGTTAATAATATTGAATGATCGGGCAGTGGGTATGCTTACAAGGCTGTATAATATCAAAAAAGCTTGCAGTGACCCAAAATCACGACCGCAGTTTTTAAGCGAGAAATCATTGGAAAGCTGCATTAAACATATAGTGCGCAAATTTCCCATTGTTGATGCCAGGTCAAGCAGTGTAAGCTCCATTCATCTTTTTGTGTTGACTTTGTCATCGTTTTCGATCAAGTAGAGAAAGAGCTTTTGTGTAAATTTTGAAAAATTATTTCTGTTCCACGTTCAGAAGTAACTACAGTTCAAGTGTCTGTCATGTAATGTAACAATCACTTATTTAACATAAATAGATGACGTGCGGGAAGTTTCGTCTCCAATACTTTAATTTCACGCAACATGCCATTCAACATTCATGTAAACTCTGGTTTTGAATAGTTTAAGATACAAGATAATTATTCTTTTCAACAAAATATACGCACAACACAATCAAAGAACAATAAAACATCGGCGAATATTGTTTAACGATTGTCCAAAAAGAGTGTCTGAAGCATTTACGAAATCAGTTTTGTCAATTAAAATTATTCCAGACGTTGTTTCACCAAGTATCTTTCATAAAGCAGGAAATATTGAAATCTCTCTCGCTATATTACTGCACATTTGCTGATTTGCTGGATTTGAAAGATCACATTCTACAATTACTGACAACAATGGACGCTGCACAGTTCAAGCTAGATATAGTAATTTCTTTGTTTATTAAAAAAACAGTGCTCTTAAACTTTCTATTGAGTTTCCTGTAAATCATACTTAACAACAAGCAGTTGAGCGATGGGAGCGACATTAAACGAAAAAACGTTATTGCAGACAACAAGTTACGATTTAACAGCAGGTTACATGAATTTGGTGATTAATTTGGTATGCTTGATGGTGCTTTTATGTCGCGTGGATGATAGGAAGGCCGTTCTTGGATTATTTAATGCTGCTTATGAACTGAGTAATGGACAGAGTGAACCCACTTTTCCAAGATTAGGACAAATGATTATTGAATATGATAATCCATGGAAGAAATTGGCCGAAGATTTAGGACCTTTAAATAGGGTGCTTCTTGTTTTTCTTTTCCTATTTGAAAGATTTTTTTTAAAAAAGATTGCTTCACTGTATTTGATGGATCCAAACAATTATCTTAAATATTGTTGCACGGCATTATGTCTTTTATATTACTTCTAGTTCAAGAGGCAAAAAAGTAAAGTAATAAGTAAGTCTTCCATTAGCTAGTCCAGTCGGTAATTCGTTTTCTGTAGAGTAAACGAAAATTCTTAATGAAAAAAATTTTGTGGATATTGCAGTTAATTCACAGTTCTCTAACCTCGTTAGGAACAGTTTACGTGCGTAGAAATATAACTGCAAATGCATGGCGTAACGCGCAAATGTTATCACTTGTTGCTTCTCCGCAACAAATCCTATACGCTGCTCAAACTGATACGGTATGCTTTATAGAATAAACAAAATTATTTACAGTTGAGAGAACTTTTCATTTCATATTTCATAAATGAAGAAAGAAACTGAAGAAATACTGCAATTGGGACCTTGCGTTTTGCTAATTAGCACAGATTTACACTTTTTGGACTAAAATATTCAGTGGTTTAGTTCTGACTTGCAACGATAAAAGTAGGATGTATTATATCAATTTGTTATTTTCACTCTGTCTTTTATCACTTTAAGTCATTGTTTTCCTGAGCGTAAATCCAGCTAAAGTGTTAAGACTTATTTTCAAGTGTTAAACGCTTTAATATTCAAGGAAGGGAGATCTTTTCCTATAAGAATGCAATAGGGAAGATAACTTAGAAGGAAACCGAACTTTTCATTGTAGCTTGATAACTTTACATATATGATTCAGGCTGAGTAAAAATTTTGTAGATAGCTTGCGAATATTTGTCATTGGATGTTATGGACAGATGGATAATATGTAAGTGCTGTGTTGTAACTTTGCATTTTATTTGAAGCAATTACCATCTGTATCGATTATCGTTGACTGAAAATAATAAGGTTTGAGGTACCAGGCCTCATCTCGTATTTTAATGCCTAATGGTATACAGTCCCATTTTTTTATTCGATTATCCATCACGACGAATCGAACATATTATACCAGAACCGCCACTACTGAAAAAGAGGGAGGTGAAGTTAAAGCATTAATGCAACAGGTTTCTGTTGGTTCCATCATCTCTTCATTTACGCTGTATGTTTCTTTTCACCATTAAGCAGAAGAGGTGAATGATAATTCAGTGAAGCGTATCGCCTAATGGTGTGAGGCGTCCTCTGCACTGTGATGTATTAAAAAAGACTGGTGTTGGACGTTAGTCAGATTGTCCATCTTCGATCTGCCATGGTTTTCACTGAGTTAAATTTATGATCCAGATTCCATCATACTTCAGTTTTGTCTTATTGATCTACCTTACTACGACGAGATATCTAAATTACTAAAATGTTGAGTTTACTCAAACTAATAGCACTATTATTTTTAATGAACTTTTAGTTTGCAGACATTTAATTTGCAGTGGGTGTACTTGTTTGTCATAACACACTTTTAAACGATTCCATAATTGCTAATTTGTGGCAACGCGCTTTACAAACGGGTCTTGCTATACGCCTTTTTAGGTTTGTTTTTTATTTATTGTCTTCCATTTGCACGAAGCATGTTTATAGATAGAGAGTTTATTTAAAGAAGGAAGTACGCTCTATGAAACAAAACTTTTTGTTGTATAGCACATATCCTGAAACTATTAGAAAAAATTGCGAGGTGAGGTTTTCATTAGTTTCTCATTACTAAATGTGATGTTTGATATGGTCATTCAGGGATGAAATTCTTATTGTTCATCAAACAATTCAGAGTGTTTTTGAAAATGTGAAAAGTTACAGTAAAAAGCTACAGGAAGTGAAAGACCACTATTCAGTTGCATTACAAACAAGGTATCTGCTTTGTTAAAGTTTGTTTTTACTATATTTATACAAGAAATTCCGGTTCATATATTAAGGTAATGTGCTAGGCAAGTATAGTAAATACTTATGTTTATTCATTGCGTCAGTTTTTTCCAGCCTTACTGTTCATCGTGATCGGCGCCGTTTTCTTCGAGGTACTTTACGAGAACTTTGTTTGCTAATCAAAGATCAGGTTGGTCTTCTCGGACCAAAGATTTTGTTTGTTTGGATGGCCCTTTCCTTTTCAAGAGATGAAGTAGTATGGCTTCTGCGACACATTGATATTTGGCCAGTAAGTGGTAATAAGAAGACAAAACTTGCTGATGAAGTAGCAGACAAGTATGTCTTTTTTTAATTTAGCAAACCTACATGAAAATTGCTCAGTATGTGAGTTTTTCAGTTAAATTTTGTGACATTCATAGAAAATTTTTCATCAAATAAATTCGACGAGTTTATTATTTGGCATAACGAAATTATTTCATTCTTTTTTTAAGGCAGTTACCTGAACTGTTGTACTACATCTTGGAGTTGCGCTCTGTGGTACAACAGCATGATGGAGTCATTAAGCGATACTATTCGCAGTATGTGACTGGCTATGATGCACTTATTTTGGCTGATATTGTGCAGTCTGTTGAGGATTTGGGCGAAAAAGAAGCAGTGTTACTATCCGATTTTTGCGCTGATCTGACTCATATTAACCGTGAGTTATTTATAATTAATTTTTGTTCTTACCG